GACTCTGCCAGACCTACTAGCAGGAACTCATCAGATTTTAGTTAAAGGTTAATCTCACTTCAGGAGAAGCAAGTTGAGGTTTCAGTCAAAGACTACAAAGGCTTAGTGGCAAATTGGAGATACTAGATAGTGATCAGTGGACACAACACTTTTCTACCCAAGAAATGCCAATAATTGGAAAGTGTAGCAAAATCAAGTTAGTGACCTGAAAACCAAGATAGGATTAAGAAATGTCACATTCATAGGGGGTCCTAGAGGAAGAAAGAGAAAAAGAAATCATTTCTCCCACCCCCCCCCAGCAGATTACAAAGGTGTGGGTTTGGATAACTTTGAGCTCTCCTCCTTATATGTTGCGATAGTCTGCATTTCTGCTGAGGTCCATGTCTCCAGCAACGTCCAGAAATATGCAGTTCAGTAGACCACTACCAAAATTATGAAATTTGTTTCTGATATACAATTTTTAGGGGTCAAAGGAGGTTGAAAAAGCACATTATCTTTTTTTTTTTTTTTTTTCTTTCCCATACCGGGGAATCAATTCTGGACCTTGCACTTGTGAGGCAGGCGGTGACACCACTGAGCTAAATTCCCAGCCCAAAAGCATTTATCTTTATCGGTGGTCTTTGGCACCCAGAAACACACATATCTGCTGCAGGGTGCTGGTATATGGTAAGGAAGAATACCATTTATCCCAAGAAGCAGACGGTCTCTGAAGAATTATTTTATTAACTGTCCCTTCTGAAGCTGGATGCAGGTGGTTGAATTTGAAGGTAAAGTTGAATTGAAATGTTTGGATACTAAAGGCCTTTATCTGTTCTAATATGCAATTTGATTTGCCTCTTTAAAAACAGATATTTAACAGAATTTTTACAAAAATCTGTCTTGAACAAATTTGCCAGGAAAAAAAAAAGGATTATTTCATTTGATGGGATAATGATTAATCCTACCACCTAGGTAAGCTGAGTGAGCTTCCCACAGGAGATTTGCTTCTGCAGCTTTGAATTATGTATGAATATTGCAGACTGATGAGGTAGAACCTACCAAGGGATTCGTTTATATAACAATTCTGTAACGGTGTTACTGTTTCCTTTGAACACTTATGTTTATTCCACATGTTCAGAAAATGAGCTGTCTTTGTGGAGATTATGACATGGTTTTTTAAAATATCGTCAGACACACCAAATTGCAAAACTCGTCACTAATGAAAAGTTGGTGGATGAGTTTAAAGTCATCCCTCAGTGTTTTTGGGGGCTTGGTTCCAGGAGCTCTTTGAATACCAAAATTTCCCTGTGTAAAATGATACCATATTTACATATACACCTTGTGTAGATTTTAAATCTTCTCTAGACTACTTATAAGTGCTACGTAAATTGTGTTATACTGTTTTGTTTAGGAAATGATGGGGGGAAAGTCCATAAATGTTCATTGAGACACAGTTTTTTTACCTGCTGAATGTCTTCAGGCTACACTTGGTTAAATCCAAAGATGCAGAACATGAGGATACAGAGGGCTGACTGCGTAGACAAACACAGTGTCTTCCATTATGGAACCAGAATGATCATTGAGGGTGGACAAAGAGTAGGCTAACTCAAGGTTTAACCCAACCTGAACAGTTATCACAGATTTTCACCTTGCATTACAGGACAGGAGATTGTTTCAATAATGAATTTAAGCAGCAGAAATATAAAAGCCTTAACTTCTTCTTGTGGACCATTTATCACATAACCGTTTTTGTTTTATAGTAATATCAAATTTAATTACCCTGGGGAGAGGAGCTATCTAGTTACCTTGGACATTACTTTACTATTTCAAAATATATAAGAAATTCTCACAAATTTCATATAATTATCATTTTAAATAAATTTTTTATCAACTGTCACAGATGGGGTGGAGAAATTTTTAATTTTCTCCATTATCTCCTTCCTGATTGGTCAAGTTTATTCAGAAGAACAAAGTAATAGAGAAATAAAAGCCATTTTTAATGTTTCCAATTTTTAAACGAGTACCAAAACCCATTTTTAGTGTTTTCCCATTTTTTATGTTTTCTTCATTGCATTAATCATTTCCCAGTGAAACATAGGTTAGTAGTAAAACATTTTGTTAGGAGATAAAAATTGCATTTGTAAATTGTTGTTTTAGTATTTGGGAGGATCTTCTGATTTTATGTCTAGGAAACAAAATCAATGTCCCAAAATTAAATTCCCTAATAAAATGAATATTCCTAATGACAAATTGATAGTAAGATTTTACTTCCTTCTTCGTGGATGATTTTCCTGTCTATTATTTATATCTAAAGACTTTGTCAACTTTTCTAATGCAGTTCTCAATTCTTTTTTATTTTTTAGTCTTATCATATTACTATACCTAAGTGTGAACTCTCAGAATCTCTCTTTTCTCCTTTCTCTTTTTTACTGTTTTAATCATGCAAAGGGCTGTTCTTCCTTCAAGCATTTAGACATAACATACCATCAATGCATTTTTTAAAAATCTGTACTTCTGTCACCTTAACTGCAGATTAACATCCTAGCATCCCTAAACAAATCCATGTGATTTTACTTTCATGTACTCTTTTTTCAGTTTTAATAGTTGACAAATATTTTAATTGGTGACCTGATGCACTAGTGCATTCATTTAGAATTGTACATGAAAACTAGTCTTTATCTAGAATGTAGTCTGTGCTATCCTGGCCCTCAAAGAGTTAATAAAGCTAGGATTCCCTTTGCTTAGCTCCCCAAAGGTAATTTGGCACATTTCCCAGCCCAAACCCATAAGGTAAAGGTCAAAGTGCAGTGGATGTTATTAAGGTGCAGAATTCAAGCCTCTTTTCATAGCTTTCCTAGCTTTGTTTCCAGTGGACTCTGGTTCATCAGTTTCAGAACATGATTAGCAGTCTCAAGGAGACCCTGTGAAAATTTCTATTAATGGGCAATTGCATGAGCGAGTACAGTGGGTGAGTCTTTGCTGTGTCTTGTTTTTTAGCGTCTATGTTTTGTTTCACAAGCTTTTCAGAGTACAGAGCTATGTTACATTAATGTGGAGTGGGCCCAGGGACCTCCTCATAGGTTAATAGCAGCTTTTTCAGTGGTTTTCACAATAGTTGAACTTTACTGTGGATAGCCCAGACCTGGCAGGAAAGCAGACAGGTAAACATGGAGGCCCAGCTCCAGAACCATTCACCACCACTTTTTGACAAATGGAAGAGAGTGCTTTCTCTTGATAGTAACCAGGAGGTTGGGAAAATAAAGGAAATGGGCAAGTTGTAGCAATTAGCCCCAAAACAGCTTTTTAGGAAACCTGTAAAGCTGACTCCAAAAGTAGAAGAGAATGCTTGGAGTTTTAACATTTTTCCTTTTAAAGGAGAGCTGGTATTTTTTTAATCACTTTATGTTTATTGCTTTGAAATTAGAAGTTGTTTTATATTAACTTTTGCCCAACAAAGAACATTTTCATTCTCCTAAAGTATGTTTACAGCTACGCGGTGATATAGTCCTGATACTGTGTTGTGCCTCAGTGTTTTGGAAGTGTCACTTTGCTTTGCCTTTACTAATGCATTAAAGGTACCTTGATTTTTATGTTGTCTCCTATGATGAGAAACTAGCTTTGTGTGGAGTCTCTTTTCTATGTCAATGAGGGAGCCCATTGAGAAGCAGCAGCGTGCTTTTCTATGCAAAGCCTTCTCCATACAGACTACACGGTCGACTGCTGATGGAGCAATTTCTTCACATTTCACCCCAGTCCTCAAGAGCTGGATCCCGTAATGGAACTTCCAGTTTATTACACACTGTTGGTATAGAGAGACCAATGGCTCTTCTAGTTTTGAAGTTGTATATCCAGCAGACTTCAAGTCTTAGTTTTCCAGACACATGCATAATTTTCATAGTGAAAAAATGAGAAGGGACTCCTTTTCTTCCCGATATGCTTCTTTAAATCTGCATGCAACATATGTTCTGATGATACATGATCAAACAAAGTACCTCTTTTAAAGAAACGTCACCATGACTCATTGCCAATTGAAAATCCAGAGATAACATGTAATAGTATATGTTTCCTTTCCTTCTCTCTGTCTCTAAAGACATTGGGAAGAAGAGCTAATACGCATGTGATTCAGTAACCCAAAAATCTTTAACAGTGCCCAGCCAGCCTACTGATATTTTTCTAACTGGGCTAGTTTCCTGTACCAGTATTTAATGACCATTAGATCCCTTTCTACATCTTAGTAACAGAATCAGCACTGTTCCTGCAGGTAGGAGAATGGGGAGAATGGGATGAAGTAGCTGTGAGCAGATTAGCAGAGAATAATAAAACCAGCTTTGCCATACACTGATTTGTGGCCAGAACAATGCTGCAGATTCACTTTAACAAATGAGATTAACCAGAATGCAGAACTTTCACTATTTGCTGCATATATATAGGCAAAGTTTGATACTCTGTACTCCTGGCAGTAAGACCATCCTGGCCTCAGTTTACCTGCCAAACAGTTGCTTAATTTCATTATCTAAATCTAATTTTAACTATTCCTAGTCCTTTACTAAATAATTTGGTAAATACTTTAGTGTGTAGTAAATATTACATACTAAATAAATACTATGTAGTAAAGTTTCATTTACTATAGCATTAGAGTACTATCTCATTTAATAAACACAGTAAATATGCTAAATGCTTTATTAAAAAATTAGTATATTTGTCTTTAACCAGTTAAGCATTTGGCATCCTCTGCCTTATCATTGTCACCTCTTAAAAAAACAGTTGTTCCACTCCTGGCCTGTTGTACCCATGCTTCCTTTAACCTACCGTACCCCCCCTGCCAAACTGACTACATATGTGTGTATTATGGAAAATGAAGTCTCAGCCTAGAGGAAGTCTTCCCTAAAATAAGTGTGCTGGGGCTTGTGACCCATAGTTGTGACCCACAGGACCAGTTACCTTTATGGAAAGTATATCTTTTGCTGAATTGTAGCAGAACTTTTGAATACCGGTGTGACAGGCTGTCTGATTTGTTACAGCCATGCAGCCCATGAATTGGCAGAGGAATTTTCTCCTCGGGATCCACGACCTCTTACAAAGCAAGATAGTGGGGGCTACACTTCTGTCTCACCAATATTGCTGCCACCTGATTTGGAAAAAGAGGAGGAAAAAGAAGACACTTCAGAGCCCATCGACCTGAACCCCTGTAGTGCAACATACAGCAATTTAGGTAAGTACAAATGACATCTAAGTGGTATTTAAATTTTGTCTGTTTATACACTAGGCAAATGTTCTATTTCCCTGGAGATACGGTTTTTATTGCTCCATGGAGCAAAAGTTGAACCATTGAGTTATAAATTTTAACTCACACCAGAAGAAAATCTTAGTGTTTACTAAGCATGTATTAAATAAACACTTGCTACCATGAGCTGTGCCCCTGTGCCATAGATGCTGACATGGTTCCTGCCTTGCAGGATTCACGTGGAGAGAGAGGTGAACTTGTCAGTGAATTCAGTACAGTATGACAAATGCAGTCACAGAGATACACATGGAATATTTTTTATATTACGCAGAAGAAGGTGTCAGACGATGCTTTTCTGGAGATAATTCCTAAATTGATTTAACTGACAAGAAGGAGAAAAAAGTATTCAAACCAGAGACCAGAACAAGACTGTAAAGATGCAGAATATCTTAGTGCATGTGGATACCACAATAATTTAGTGTTGTTGAAATGGGTGGTAGGGAGTTTGATAATATCATGCATGTCAGGCTAAAGCCTTAGACTTCCTGCTGTTTGTGATAGTGAGCCATCAAAGGGTTTAAGCAAAGAAATAGTGCAGTTAGATTTGTGTTTTAAAACATCTGCTCTCCAGGCTGCTCTATGAAGATGTATTACGGTAGTATTGGTAGCAGGAAGTCTGGTAGTGCTATGCTGTTGCAGGAACACAGAAAGGATAAGAAAAGGAGGCCTCAACTAAGTCAGTGGGAAGGAGAATGGTGGGGTATTTAAGGTAATATACTCAAGACTTGAAGATATGCAAAATCTATGATATATCCCAAATTTCTGGCTTAAATCAAGTAGACTGAAGGAAATAAGATCTCTCCATTGAATAAGCAGGAGCCGACAGGCCATCATTCAGAGTTTCTAGGAAGGAGAGTATAGCACTGCAAAGAGGGTGGAGCTAAACTACCACAGAGGTCCTGCTAATCCAAAGATACTTTAGTTCTCTGATTGAACTCACTCTTCTTCTTTGACTGCCCAGTGACTTCTAATATCTCTCTCCTTTGAGTGTCACAGTTTACAATCTGAAAAGCAAACCCCAGGGCAGGGTTTTTCTTGGTTCTCTTCTCCCATGAAGTTAGGAAACTCAGTTGCAACAACCCATCTTCATAAATAAAAGACTTCAAGGCTGAGGCAGGAGGATCACTGTGAGTTTGAGATCAGCCTGCGCTACATAGTGAGTTCTGGGTCAGTCTCAACTACATAGTGAGACCCTGTCTCTAAAAACCAAAAAAAAATAAAAAAAAAAAAAAAAAAAAAAAAAAAAAAAAAAGAAAGAAAAGAAAAGAAAAAAGAAAAAAGACTTCATTCTGAGTTTCAGAAGCTTTTATTATTTAAAGTTTACAGTTTACTCGAAGCAACCATCCTGGATACCATTTTCTAGTTTGAATACATTTTACAGTCATTTTCCAGCTTATGAAACTTTGTCCATTCTTTTGTATTTTATGAAACACATTACTAGATCAAAAAAATAACTGTTTACTTGTGTACCCTCCAATAAGCTAATATATCAGGACCATTTTATAGACATTCTCACTATGCCAATATTTCTTTCATGATATCCTAGGTAAAATATATAAAAATCCTTACTAAATTGTACAACATCTTATGGCAGCTCATTTTTAAAAATTTCCATCAGCCAATATTAGTTAAAGATAATTATTTTATCTTACTGACTTCTCTGCTACAAAGATTGGTAGAAAAAAAAAAGAGCTTTCCTCCATGAATATTCTCAGTGTTTTGCATATGTTAGCTCATTCAATCCTCACAACCATCTTGCAAATTATTATTCTCATTTTTTAGATGAGAAAAGTGAGGCAGAGAGCTTTGCCCAAAGTCTCAGAACCAGTAAGGATTGGCCCAAGACTGAAACCCAGTTGTTTGTGGCCACTATCGTGCTTTTTTTTTTTTTTTTTCCAAAAATAAAAAATAGGAGTTTTATTTAATTCTTTAAATTCCTACTCCATTTCTTATTAGAAGTTTTTAATCAACCATTCATAATTAGTGCTCTTAATCACTAAATTATTTTGAAGTACCAACATGCTGTTTCTTTTTTTTTAAAATCATCTTTTAGACACAAAATTGATTCTTTTAAAATTATGGTTAATTAGAATATAAAAATACAAAGTTAAAGGTGCCCTCTCAGAAAGAGTGCTTTCTTTCTACCTATTCCTTTACTTTTTATACTGTGTGATGCCCATAATAGTCCAGTCATCCTTAAGTGCTTAAGTGGCTATGTACTTGATCCCACAAGACTTGATACATGTTTAGTTGCTTCTTTGGAGAGTAGTAGGCAATTCCATTAGTTACACAAAGTAAGGGTTTGGAAGATGGGTTTTAAAAAATTTTTTTGTTTTGTTATTTTTTTGCCTAATGGAACAAATGTTTTAGGTATCATTTGGAACTATCCTTTTTTAAAAAAAATACTTCCAACAAAAAAATTTGCATGCAGCTTTAAACTACCCCTTTGAGTAATCATTTTTATTATTTAAAGATTTGGTAACTAAAAAGGTATGTTTAGTGTGTTTAAGAATGGAAAAGGAAGGCAGAAAATCGGAACACAGGTATGGAAGAAACTAAAATTGTGGAATTTATTTCTGAAAAAATTACACTTTGAAGTGGGCTTAGGATGCAGTGTAACAGCAAGAAAAAGGCTGGGTGAAGTGTTTGGAGGGTTCAATTCCTGTCACAGCTGTCTCCCTACTCACCTACATGATTGCAGGCTGGCTTTTAAAAAGTCTTGAGTTGGGCTGGGGATTTAGTTCAGTGGTTCCACCACCTGCCTCACAAGCACAAGGTCCTAAATTGGATCCCCGGCACCAAAAAAAAAAAGCCCTGAGTCCAAGTTTCCTCATCTGAAAGGGCTGGTGGTGGAGGAAGTGCAGTGGTATCTCAGTTCACAATTGCTTTTGTTTGCAAACAGTTTGGTTCTCTAACAGAAGTGTTTGGCAACATTTTGGTTTTGTTTGTACATTCTGCATTGGGTAACAAACACCACCACAGCCATCTTGCCCACACACAAATGTGGCCATCTTTTCCAAATTGTAGAACAGATTAAGTTCATAAATTAAGGTACCATTGTACTTGGTACATAGCAGTGCTTAATAATTGTGAGACTAATTCATTTTTCCCCCAAAATACACTGTTCTTTTCTCTTTAAATATTCTGGACTTGATAACCAGAAAGAGTGAAAAGGATTTAAAATGTTTATTAGATGGTGTTGAATAAGAACACAACAAAATGTAAATCCAAAACTCTGAGATACCTGTGCACCTAATGACTGAAGGAAGGTGTGAAACACAAAACAGGTAGGACCTCAAAGTGGCTACCCAGGACTGGAGGGGAGATGACAGCAGCAGTGTCCATGTGCAGTCCCACAGACTGCCATCATAGCAGAACAAAGGGCCATGGTTTGGATTTGTTCTGTGGCACTCACAATTTTTATATAGTTCTGAAAACTAATTTTCTATTTTTTTCCTGAAAACTAATTTTCAAACCAACAAAACCATCCTAGCTGGAATAGACCTTGAACACCCTCTTTGAGAACTTCCCCCAGCAAGAGACATGCTTGCATCCATGCCCACTGTGGGCTCCTGACTCAGGCAACTCCACACTTTCCTTTAGAGGTCATGCTCCAGGGCTCAACACATGTCGTTTTTCTCATCCTCAACATAAATAAAATAAACTTTATTTTGTTTATAATTGGATTATTACATTTCAGAGCTGTGCTACCAGCCACACCTGGTATTTAAATATAAATTTATTAAAATATAAATATGACTTCATTTCCTCAGACTTACAACATGTCAGGTGTCCAGTAGAGCTATATGTGTCTGGTAACCACTGTATTGGGCTGTGCAGCTGTGGAACATTTCACGTCCTTAAACTTCTGTTGGGTGCCACTGCTTTAGAGAGCTATTAATGTGGGAGACATCATCCTCTGAGTTGCACAAAAGTCATATTGGTCTTTAAGCAGCTTGACAGCTCCCTTTGAAGGTCACCCCTTACAGAATAATGGATGACTTTGCTCTGAGTGATGGTCTCAGGAGATTTCAAAATGAACTCTGACTTATAATACCTTAATCCTCCCCAAACTAGAGTTTGGAAGGTGTCTGTCACCCCTTGTGATCTTCCAAAGAAGCAATATGTTGTTTTTATTATTATTATCAAAACTTCAACATTTCCCCATGTTTCTCACATCTAGTGAGAGGTCTAGATATGTCTTCTCGATGTCACTTTGTCTCCTTAAAGTGTCTAGAAGAAAGATCAGCAGTTGTATTTTATGTGACACACCTTGCTACTTCATCAGCCTGCTAAAATCAGGAATATGCAATGAAACTGCTCTGCTGGAAATAAGTTGGTGATGTTAGCACTCCTTAATTTATTTTGAACCCAAGTGTTCTATACATTGCTTGTTTTGTTTTGTTGAGACAGGGTCTCGCTGTGTAGTCCAGGCTGTTCTTGAATTCACTATGTAGCCCAGGCTGTCCTCAAACTCATTGCAGTCTTCCTGCCTCAGCTTCCCAAGGTCTGAGATTACAGGCATGCAACACCACGCCCAGCTGTCTTGCTTTTTAAAAAGACCTATCAAGTCTCCCTTTACTGGACAGATTTTTGGCTTTTCTTTTTGTATCCCTACAACCTAGCACATTATCTAAAACACACAGGAGGTGCTAAGAATCTGTTTGAATGAATTAGCTAAAAATGACTGTTGTAGTTGACTTTTGAAGATTGCCAGGTGAGCAAAATCTGCTCTGCTCAAGAAAGTTCAAGTTGCAGTTCATGTACACCATTAATCACCCAGCTTGCCCCACCCTCGGTATGGGACTTTATAACTTTTCTAATTAAGCAATTATCAAACCTATTTCCTCTATATATATCCCACAAGAAACTGTATGTTTCTCATTTTATGTAATACTGTAACCGTCACACAATGAAAGCAAAAGCTT